ATGAATAAAACTAAAAAAAAAAAGACCGTACCCTTTTATGTAATGATGTTTACTTTGAATTTATATTAGTTCACACAAACACTCCATCCATGTTTTTGTTCCGGCCCTCCGGTCCAGTTTAAGAACCCATTGTGGCCTTTGAGTCAAAAAGTTTGCCCACCCCTGGACTAAGGGGACACGCTCTCACCCTGAGGCCACCCACATTCCCCACACCCCACCCAGGAAGGGCCCTATCACTCCACCTCCCCAGCTCTCAGGGAAACTGTTTGCTGAGGCCAGGAGAGGCTTCCATGGGCCGGTCCAGGGCACAGTGACCTCCTGGGCCTGGGGCTGCCACCTGCCTGCCTTCCCCATTACTGCTCTCCCTGTGGGTGCCTCCCCTTCTCGGGTAAATCAAGGCACCCTCCTCCCCGACCATCTGGGACATCTGGGAAGTGGCCTCAACGCCTCTGAGCCTCAGGTTCCCATGGATGGCGTGGGGATAATAAAGCTCAGAGGGTTACACATAGCCACCCAGACAGGGCCCACACATGTGGCCAAAAGGTGGGAAAGGCAGCCCTTTGCCTCACACTGCAGGGCCGCCCCCTCTTCTCTCACTCCCCAGAGGGCCCCTCTGCACACACCCTGGACCTGCCCCTGATAACTCACCCCCAGGGAGCAGACACCCCCTCAGGAGGTCTTCCCTGCTGCCCCCAGACTCCTAATCTGCTCAACACTTCAAAAGCCCCCGCTGTCTGCCAGGCACCATGAAAACACCCTAGATATGCTACCTGCATCCTTACCCCAATCCTGGGAGGCGGCTCAAGGATTACCCCTATTTTACAGATGTGGAAACTGAGGCCCAGAGAGCTAACAGCAGCTCGCCTGAAGTCACCGAGCTAGGAAATGGCTGAACCCAGGGAGGCCATCTCCTAAGTCAGTGTCCAAGCCGGGCTGCTGGCCTCCCCATTCATTCCAACAAATCCCCACTCTCCCAGGGTTGACCAGAGACCTTTTCCCCTCAGCACCCAGGACAGGATCGGCGCCCAGAGGGAGCACAGCACCATCTGTGCAATGCCCCAATGCGGGTGATTATCATCCCTTGGTCCTGAGAGGCAGGTGAGACCGGCCTGGGGCAGAGGTTGTGTCAGAATTGCCCCATCGGCATGTCTGCCCACACACACCCTCTGCCACCCCAGCCTGGGTTCCTCAGAGACCCAGAGCGGCTTCCCTGGCCACGCAGCCAGCTTAGCCCTGTGCCCACTGCCTGGGAACTCACTGGGTTCACGACGGAAAGCTGGTTGCAGATGAGGGACATCTCTCCACCACCTCTGTGGTCCCGGCTGCTCCTCACACCAGCCAGGCAGTTCTCTGCACTGGGAAGTCCTTTACTATGAAACAGAAAACAAAATTATATGGCAGTTATTCAATGGGGAGGAGCCAGGAGCAAGAGGACATGGATTTAGAGAAAGAGAAACTGAAAGTGCTGGGGGAGAAGGGGCCAGGATGGGGCTCAGGGACAGGTAAGCAGACACTCCCACTCCAGAGACTTTTCCTTCTCTCTGTATCGTGTTTGGTTCGTGTACAGGTTCTCAGAGTCTGGCCACTGACATGACAGCGAGTTTCAGAGGCTGCTGCCCATGGGGGTATGGCTGTGTCTCCTGAGCATGCTCAGTCACAATGTCCAGAAAACAATGGGCTACTTGACAGAGCCACAGGGAGGAGTGGTGGAGGTGGTGCTGGGAGGCCTGGTTATACTCACTTTCCACACAGAGAAACTGAGGCTCAGAGACCCATCCAAGGTCACATGGCTCACTAGTGGCAGCCTGACCTGTATGAGGGGAGGCGCCCACAGTTAAATTCACAAAAAGGTATTTCTCTCCTTTAAAATTCTATTCCTCTTATAAATACATCACCATGTAGAAAAAGGTGTTTTACAAATAGAAAACCTCATAATGGATGTTATGATATCCATTATAGTGGTACCCAGGGAGCTTCTGAGTTCCCTCTCTGTGAATTTACATCTTTCTTCTCTCTTTCCTGTCTCCTCCTTTCTCCTTTTTCTTTCTGTGCTTTAGAATATGGAGAGGAGCCCTGTGGTTAGAGCGTCAGCCCACGGAGCTAAGGGTCACAGGTTCCATTCCCAGTCAAGGGCAGGTACCTCCAGTGCAGGTTCAATCCCCAGCCCCAGTTGGGGTGTGTGCGGGAGGCAACCAATTGAATTCTCTCTCTCACAGCCCCTCCTTCCCTTTCACTCTGTCTGAAAATCAATGGGGAAAATTATCCTCATGTGAAGGTTAAAAAAAAAAATACAGAGAGAAAAGAAGTCTATTCCAAATGACGTGGAGGTCAGGGTAACATTAAATGAACTGCCTTTAACTGGCTTCAGCACCGAGTTGAGGGAAATGATTAAACAGAGACTAGCAAGATAGGCTGGGTCCAAAGAGTAGGTTGGAAATTAGAGCAGAGGAGACAATGAACTTACCTTCAGTCAAGCAGGTCCCTGCAATGTGCTCTTAGTCAAGCCTGAATGAACAGTTAAAGGTCAGATAGGTGCCACGTTGGTAGAAGGTGCCCAAGGTCACACATAGATCTGTACCTCTGTTCCTTCTTGAGCCTTGTCTAGATGCACTAGAATTTGCAAAGACTGACTTCTTTGAGATGCTCCTGTAAACTCTGGTCACTTGTCCCATTGGCCCACCCTCCATCCCCATTGTATCCCTGGGTCAACTAGAATTTAACCAGTTGAAGGTGCAGGCAGCACAGTTGGAACAGAAAGGAGGGCAAGGAAGGGAAATTCTTTGCTATCCTCTCCAGCAGCAGGGACACCAGGGACAATGTCATCACTGATGGGGACATGGATCCAGTGGAACTCTCATTCCTTGCAGATTGGAGTGTGAAATAAAACAACTTTGGAAAACAACTCAGGAGAGATGAACACAGACATTCACGACAGCCTCACTCCCATAGCTCCAAACTGGAAACCACACAAGTGTGCACCAGCAGGAGAAAGAAGGAATAAGTGATGGTGCTGGTACCATGGAAGGGCCCCCGCAACCAAAAGGAGCTGTGACACGGGAAACCTCATTGACTTCAGATTGAACAATGAACCTGGGAGGGCATGAGGGAGTCTTCTGGGAGCTGAAAATTGTTAGGGTTTGGCTGATGATTCGGGCTATGAGAGAATTCACAACTAAGGGAACAGATGCAGTGAGGACATTTATTTCACTTTCCAAGGGAGGAGAGGGCCAGGTATTGCTAGTCAATACAGGGCAAGGAACAAAGAGTGGCTTCTGCTTTTAAAGGGCAAGCAATTGCAGTTGCTAAGCAACAAGGAAGCGGGAGGTGGGTGGGAGATTGTGTTGAAGTTGAGCAGATACCAGGGGGGTGATCTTAAAAAGTTTGTTTGTTTTCCAGGAGACAGTCCATCAGATGTCCCAAGGAGGTGACTTATCAGGCTTAGAGCAAACATTATAGAGTTCAAAAGAGGCTTCTCTGAAAGGGGAGGAGGGTTGGGAGCTTTCTGCTAACTAGCGACTCCTTGTTGTGAATTATCCCTGAATTGTGGAAACAGCAGCTAGGAGGAGGATGCAAGAATGTAGCTTGAGCGGTAACCGGTTTGGCTTTGAGAGTAGCTTGTCTTGTCCCACAGTTTGAACAGAGGAGCCAACAATCTTGAGGTTTAATTACCAGGTGTCAGGTGTTTCTCATAAATATGGAAGGCCACAGCAAAGAAAAAGAGGGGCCTTTTATGTCCCCACAGAAGTGTTCTGGCACTTGATCTGGTAGGTGGTCACACAGCTGTTTCACCTTTCACCTGTGTAAAAACTCATCCAGCAAACTGTAAGGTCTGGGGCTGGGAAAATAGGGTCTTTCCTGACCCCACCAGCTGAGTTGAAAATTGTTAGGGTTTGGCTGATGATTCGGGCTATGAGAGAATTCACAACTAAGGGAACAGATGCAGTGAGGACATTTATTTCACTTTCCAAGGGAGGAGAGGGCCAGGCATTGCTAGTCAATGCAGGGCAGGGAACAAAGAGTGCTTTCTGCTTCTAAAGAGCAAGCAATTACTGTTGCTGAGCAACAAGCGGCAGTGGGGTGGGGGTGGGGGGCAGATTGTGTTGAAGTTGAGCAGATACCAGGGGGGTGGTCTTAAAAAGTCACTATTTGCTTGCTTTCCAGGAGACAGTCCATCAGATGTCCCAAGGAGATGACTTATCATGCTTAGAGCAAATGTTATAGAGTTCAAAAGAGGCTTCTCTGAAAGGGGAGGATGGTTGGGAGCTTTCTACTAACTGGAGACTCCTTGTTGTGAATTATCCCTGAATTGTGGAAACAGCAGCTAGGAGGAGGATGCAAGAATGTAGCTTGAGCGGTAACCGGTTTGGCTCAGTGGACAGAGCGTCGGCCTGCGGACTGAAGGGTCCCAAGTTCGATTCCGGTCAAGGGCATGTACCTTGGTTGCGGGCACATCCCCAGTAGGGGGTGTGCAGGAGGCAGCTGATGGAGGTTTCTCTCTCATTGATGTTTCTAACTCTCTATCCCTCTTCCTTCCTCTCTGTAAAAAAATCAATTATATATATATACACACACACACACACACATACATACATACACACACACATATATATAAAAGAAGAGTACTTATAAAATCTAAAATATAGCACATTCATTTTTTAAATTTTCGCATATTCATTTACAAAATTTTAAACACTTTACCAAAGCCAGTATCATTTCCTATTAATTGTTCACATATTTTGTTAATTTATTACTAATTACAAGATACTTTATATATATCTGATACTTGATAATTTTTAAAGCATAAACATAGCAGATTATTAAAATGTTTTAAATCATGCCCGGCTGGTGTGGTTCAGTGGTTGAATGTTGACCTGTGAATCAGGAAGTCATGGTTTGATTACAGTCAAGGCACATGCTTGGGTTGTGGGCTAGATCCCCAGTAGGGGCGTGCAGTAGGCAGCCGGTCAATGATTCTCTGTCATCATTGATGTTTCTCTCTCTCTCCCTCTACCTTCCTCTCTGAAATTAATAAAAATATATTTTAAAAATAAATAAATAAATGTCATTGCCAAACCCCCCCAAAATAAAAATGTTTTCAATCATAAAAACAGATTACTAATGGTTGCTATGAAAATTACATTTTATGAGTTATTTCAATTTACTAGTGTTAAGACTTTCATTACAGTGCCTTTCTTTATATGACTTACAGGGCTTGGGAGATTTACCATTAGATACTTCTTCAGCAAAAGGAAGACGATCTCATACTGGCAGTGTTGGAAATGCAAGGTCATCATCTGTTTCCAGAGATGTTTTAAATGCAGCCGAAAGGTAGACTCATTTGATAGTCCACATCGTTAGTGAAATTACTCTCTAGTGATAGTAGTCTCATTTGGATATTTCCATAAGCTATCCCAGAGGTATTTGCCAAAATTTAACAGAACTCTAAAGGTTGTTAAGGACTTAGAAAGTGAGGTAATTAGATTTAATAAGGCAATTATGCATATACTTAAAACAACTTGCTTTTACATGTACTGAACATTAGTAAAGCTTTAGTGTTATTGAACTTAGCAATATTATGCTTGTGTTGGATAGCTGTGATTGATTTTTTTAATATATAGCCTTTACTTTTTTCCCTTAATTATAAAAGTAATACATAATTATGGTTAAAGAAAAAAACAACTTTAGGAAATACGAACATTAAAAGAATTTAACCAATAATGCCAATAACCAGTAAAAAACTACTCTTAAATATTTTATAAATATAATTGTATATGTAGTTGTCTCATCTGTTTTAACTCTTTTAACAGCATTTAGTAGGTTGGTTATTTCATTTTTTAAAATCTTTCAAAAGTATTATGATTGCTCTCGTATATTTTAAACATTTTAAAACTATATGAGTAGCCCTGACCAGTTTGGCTCAGTGGATAGAGCGTCAGGCCATGGACTGAAGGGTCCCGGGTTTGATTCCAGTCGAGGGCATGTACCTCGATTGCAGGCTCAATCCCCAGTGGGGGGCTTGCAACCTAACCAATTTTTGCCAACAAACAGGTAAATAGCCTGAAATCCCTTATGTTCAGGCCTTTTGGCACTTCCGCTCTCGCCCCCAGCTCTGTATGACCTGCTCCCCCACCCAAATTCTCCTCCCTAAAACAGACCCGAAAGCTTCCGCTCCACAGGTTCCAAATCAGCGACCCCCGGCGACTCGTCCCCAGAGGACTCAGCACTAACCATCCCGCCAGAAGCGCTCGCAACACCCCAGTCCCAGGACCTCCACCCGTCCCTACGCCGTCCCCCACTCCCGCAGCACTCTACCCCCCACTCCAGTCTGTGAGGAATCCCCCTCCCCCTCCTCCTCCCTACGCTCCTGCTTCTCCTCC